TGTCACAGTGCGACCATACAATAGTTCATAGGGTTGTTTCCCTGTGGAACGATGTTCTGAGGAATTGAATACGAACATGGAATGAACGTATCCCAATTTGTTTGATCTTTGTCAACGAAATGTCGCAGATATTCCCCTAGCGTTCTATGGCTTCTTTCAAGAGCTCCATTAGCTTGCGGATGGTAAGGGGATGTATTGCATTTTTTTATTTTCAGTTGTTTGCATGTCTCGGCTAAGATCTTGCTTAAAAACTCTGTGCCTTGATCACTAACCAGCATGTTTGGTATTACATGGAGACATACACAAAAGGTCACGAAATGATACGCCACAGTGTTGGCTTCATGATTTTCCATTTGACTAGCCATGGAGAATTTCGTGAGGTCACACTGCATTGTTAAGATGTAGGCATTATTGCTATGTGTTCTCGGTAAGGGCCCGAACACGTCAATAAATACCTTCTCGAAAGGTTCGGTGGCCGTGGTACTTATGACCATTGGTTGCCTGACGTTCTTGTTACACGTTTTGTTTATCTGGCATGATGGACATTTGGACACATATTCCTTCACATTAACTTCCAATCCTTCCCAGTTAAATTGTGCTTGAATGCGCTTTACGGTTTGGTTTATACCACGGTGTCTTCCTAGTAGGCTGGAATGATGCTCTGCGATGACATCTAGTCGTGTGTTAACTCTGTTAGAGAATAAACATGGATTTTGATATCTATCTCCTTAAATACAAACCGAATCATGGTCCGGATGGCAGACCAATTAAGTTGGTCTAGCCCACTGCCAATACGGGACATCGCTAGTTTGTCAATATCGAGCTCGATGCATACCGATTTGAGGCTATGTAAAGTCAGGAACATATCCTCCAAAGATGGTTTTTGCCAATATTTTGGTTTCGTTACCATATACAGGATGTACCGATTTTATTGACGAATGTACAACACTTCATGGACTCTGGGGTGTTGACTTTTTAAAATCTCCACATTGCCAAATTTCCTGCGAAACATGAGGGCCGTGCCCTGGCTCATTTTCACGTCCTGGGATATGCAATGTGCGAGGCTGTAGTCTGATGGTGCGTCGAATAAATCTCCGATTCCTCTTTTACCCTATTATTGACTATTGACTTGCCTTTTATTAGTTGCAAGTAGGTATCATAACTAACTCGGGTAACTGGGTTAAATGTTCTGTTCATCATGATCCGCCCCATACGGCTGAGTGCATCTGCATTTGTGTTTGCGGCACCAGGTTTGTAGACCACTTCGTACTGATATTCTGACAATTTGATTCTCCACCGCATGAGCCTGGATCCAGGATCCTTAACATTAAATATCCACGTAAGTGGCTGATGATCTGTGTAAATCTTGAACTGTCTGCCCAGTAGGTATGGTCTAAAGTTCTTGACTGACCACACGATGCTTAGTAGTTCCTTTTCATTGGTTCTATAATTTTGCTCCGCCTTGTTCAGCGTACGAGACGCATATGCAATGGGAAGATCTTGCCCTATTTCCTGGCCTTGTGAGATAACACTCCCGATTGCATACTGACTCGCAACGGTTGTCAGAATAAATGGTTCCTCGAAGTTGGGGTACTGAAGTATTGGAGCTTGAATGAGCTTCTGGATGAGCGTCTCAAATGCTGCCCGGCATTCTGCAGTCCACTCAAAAGGTTGTCCCTTCTTCAATAGTGTTGTTAATGGCTTGGCTATCTGGCTGTATTTTTTTTTCTATGAATCTTCTATAATATCCAGAGAGTCCGAGAAATTGCTTTATCTCAGTTGGGTTCCTTGGTACCGGATGATCTCGAACACAACTGATTTTCGCCGGATCTGGTTTTACACCAGTGTCCGTTATCAGATGCCCAAGGTAAACTACTTCACGTCTGAGGAATTGACATTTGCTTGGCTGGAGTTGGTGGCTGAATTTCTGAAGTCGCTGAAATACTTCTTCCAATCTGCTCTCATGTTCTGTAAGATCCGCTGCATAGATGATTATGTCGTCTAGGTACACAAACGCAAGGCACTCCGTCTAGAATTTGAACCCACAGCACAGAACCATGTTAGAAAAACGAAAGCAACTATCTGACGAGACAACCGCATCGTATATAAATGATGCAGAAAATCTATGTAAAAGAATAGATCCAAACATGCCTCAGACAGAGATTGCACACACAATTATGAAAGGACTCAAACCAGAAATTGCGAGATACGTAGGAATACTAGATAACACCAGCTTGGAAGACCTGAAGAAAAATATAAGGAAATATGAATCTATTGAATTTATAATCAACGGGAATACTGCACAATCTCGTGATGACATCAGGGCTCAAATCACCAAAGAACACGTAAATGCCATAGAAGATAATAAAACCAAAAAACAAATGGATTTATTAACAACACAAATATCGAACTTAGAATCCATGATGAATAATCCAAGCCAACAAATTAATAACAACAACAATTTCAATACTAACAACAAGGCCAATCCATCAAATTTTAATCAATACTCAATTCGTCCTCCACAAAACTATCAACACAATAATCAACCAAACCACAACCAAGCAAACACCAATAGGAACAACAATTTCCAATCGAAATAATAATCCACTAACACCAAACAATGATACCGATCAAAACAAGAAACCAACTTACAATAGCTTTGAAAAAAGGACACAATGTGAACACTGCAACAACTACAATCACACCAGTGCTGAATACAAATGAAATTTAATATGCAGCCTATGCAATAAAATATATCACACAGCCGAAAACTGCTACTCCAAAAATCCTAGCTCCAACCAAAAAAACCAATAAAAAGGTTAAATGCTCATTCTGGAAAAATGCATTACCCTTTAATTCCAGACACAACAACAGAACAGATCAAGCAACATCAAAAACCAAATAATACAAGTATATAAACAGATCTAATACACATAATAATAAACAAAGACAGAAAAGCCAATGCTCTATACATAATAGCGAAATTAAACAATGAAAACATTGAAGTCACCATAGACTCCGGAGCAAATATCAATTGCATCCGTCCAGATGTAATTGATCACAGACTAATAAGTCCATCCAACAAATATCAACTATCAGGACCAGACAAAACACCACTACAATTTATAGGAACCACATCTATGAAACTTGTTGCTGTTTTATCTAGGAACTTTAAGTAAACACACACAAACAACTTATTTTAATTATGTATAAAGCGGACTGTATTTAATTTGAATTGTATACATGACTTTACAAAAGGTATTGAATTCATGAAATCATGACTATATACTGACTAGGTGACAAAAAAATATGAAATAATTGAGTAATTGACACAAAATATATCAGTGCTGCCAATACAGCACCAGTATTATAAACATTAACATAAACAAACCTAAAGATTGAAAACGCAATATTCCAAATTCCAGTATGCGTGATAAAAAACTTAAGCAGCACCATAATACTAGGAAATTAATTTCTAGCCTCTAACAAAGCAAAAATCGATTACACTAAAAAGATAATAACTTTAAATAAAAATATCAAACAACAAATTTTAACAAATTGAAAACCATATCGACAATATAGAACACAAGACAATGTTATCAACAAACATAATCGAAACCGATATAGACATACTGAATACAACACCCAAATATTCGATAGCTCACACAATCTCTACCGACCTTCAACACAACACAGATTTATCAAATAAACTAATACAGAATAATGGCAACATGTCATATATACTCGATAGTTTAGAGCTAATACCAGGTGACATAACGACAATTGACACAGAACAAAGAACTATACATTATCTAATATCTAAAGAAAAATATAACACGCCCACGTCATACATAGAAATTTTCGATAATTTCTACAATCTAAAAAACTCTGTCATAACAAATGGATACGAGTAAATAGCAATATGCGTGAATAACATAACAAACAATGAACTAATATGGGACACAATTAAAAATATGTTATTTGAAATATTTAACAAAACAGAAATACACTTGCTTATATGCTACACACCTAAACACAAGAAACCAAACATAATATCCAATATAAAGAATACATACAATCGCATTACAAATACAAACAATGAGATTGAAATCCAATACCCCCAATTTATCAAAACATTTTCCAAATACCACATGGGAGAAAACGTACTGTCCGATGGGAATTGCGGACTATACGCTTTAACCAACGCAATAAATGATAACAAACCCAAAAAGATAATAGCCCTAGCCAATATATTGGACTTACTAGGATTATCAGAATTACCCAACTACTGGTGGCATGATGACCAACTAAGTAGCATTGCAAATCACTATGGATTTGAAACTTATATATATTCAGATAAAACTAAAGATGGATACGTATATGGATCAGGATTCAGACCTCCCATAGTACTGTATAATCTAAACAATGGAACCCACTGGTGCCCCGGCACACTAATAAAAAACAAATCCAAATCCAATAAAATCCCACAGAAAATAATATATACGGAAAACTACATTTCCATACAACATATAAAAAACAGACTGGAATTAGAAACAATAATAAACAATAAAACAAATCAAATCAAAGAAATCCAAACTATAAATACAATCACTACCAATGACAGAGAAAAAGTATATGATAAAGAAGGACCTCAAATCAACATATCCAATAACATAACTGCAGAACAACATTATCAAACAGTAGAATTATTAAAACAATTCATACACATATTTTCCACTGACACAACACACACAAAACCAGAAAAAGTACAACCCTGTCACATAAAAATCAAACCAAACGCAAAGGAGCCGAAATTCAACCCACCACACAGAATTTCCCCTTCCCAAAGACAAGAACTCAAAACCCAATTAGATAAGCTAATAACAGCAAACATAGTCAAGCACACTAAATCAAACTTTGCTTCACCTACATTCCTAGTAAGAAAGAAGGAGAAAAACAGTTACAGACTAGTCGTCTCATATAAATAACTCAATAACATAATGGAATCAGATAAATACCCATTACCCAGAACAAAAGATTTATTCCGCAGTTTAGAGGGCTCAAAGTTCTTTACAACTTTGGACTTAAACAGCGGATTTTTTCAAATTCCGGTAAGAGAACAGGATCAATACATGTTAGCCTTCACTACAGTTCACGGTTTGATGGCATTCACCAGATTACCACAAGGCTTCAAAAACTCAAGTGCAATATTTCAAAGAGAACTCAATAAAGTATTCTCAGACTATCTATACAAATCAGTAATTATATTCATTGACGACTTAGCTACCTTCGGAGAAAACTTTGAAACAGCATTACACAATTTAAGAAATGTATTCGAAATTATAAACCAATTTGGATTTTCATTAAAAACAGCCAAATGCACTATATTCAACCAGAAAATTGAACTTTGGGACACCAAATTTCCAGCGAAGGCCTCAAACCCTTAGCCAGAAATACAATAGCCATAACAAATTTTGAACAACCATAAACTGCCAAACAAGTCCGCAGCTTTTTAGGAATGTGCAGTTACTACAGAAGATTAGTAAAAGACTTCTCACATAAAGCCAACCCATTATTTCAGTTAACTAAACACGATAACAATAAGTACATAACTTGGAACAACGACCACGAAGACGCCTTCAACAAATTAAAAACAATTTTAACATCGGAACCTGTAATAGCAAACTTCTCTGATGACAAAGATACTTATCTAACAGTAGACGACAGCATAATCGGCCTCGGAGCTGTACTAGAACAACCAGACGAAACTAACAATTTAAGACCCATAGGATATGCATCACGAAAAGTACTAGACTCTGAAAAAACATAGTCATCCACAACTCTAGAGCTTTTAGGTTTAGTATTCAGAATAACATATTTCAAAGAATTCTTATGGGGACGGAAATTCACAGTATTCTCAGACAACATTAGCCTACAATAGTACAAAAACTTAAAAATACCATCTGCCAGAATAGCCAGGTTAACATTAAAAATACTAGACTTTGACTTCATAATAAGACATAAAGCAGGGAAAGAAAACAAAGTTGCCGACTGTCTGTCCAGAGAAAACATCATGAATATCATAGACGCAGTAATATTCGAATTCGACTCACAACACTTCCATCATGAACCAATACATAACATGAACAATGACAATCCCACAGAAATAAACATAATATAAAGTCAAAAGGACGATGAATTTTGTAATGAAATAATGAAAGCTTTAAACAACATACCAACATCTAGCAAATATAAAAAACTATCAAGACGATACATAATAACAAATCAAATTTTATACCTCAAAAGGCACATGCCCAAACAAAACATAGAGAATGCAATAGTAATTCCAAAGAACTTAATTCAAAATGTGATCACAGCCCATCATAACCCCCCTCTAGCAGGACACTTAGGGATCACGAAAACTATTAAAGCAATTCAAATAAAAATAAAATATTCATCGTCAACATTAATAAAAGACATAACGGCATTTATCAAATCATGTCATCAATGCCAAATAAATAAAAAGTCACAAGGTAAACCAGCAGGATGCCTACAACTAATACCACTACCAACTTGTAAACCATTGGACAGAATAACCATGGACTTCCTAGGCCCTCTACCATCCAGCAACAACAAAAAATACATATTAGTATTCACATGTCAAAACACGAAATACGTCATAGCAAAATCCACTAGGCTAGCAGACGCCAACACTGTAGCAAAATTTCTAATACGATACATCACACAATACGGCGTCCCCAGATACCTCACCTCCGACAGAGGACTTCACTTCAGAAATAAAATTTTAAATGACACCTGTACCAATTTCTACATAAAACAAATATTCTCGTCCAGCTACGCAACTCAGTCACAAGGATTCACCGAAAGAATCAACGAAGTAATATGTCAAGCAATAAGACACTACATAAAAGACAACAACCAATCAAGATGGTCATTTTACTTGCCTTACATAATATTTAGTTACAATAACTCACCGCAAATATCCACAAATTACAGTCCGTATTATCTATTACACGGCTTCAATGCAAACATAGGTATAGACATACAAATATTCCCCGAAAACCTATCTTACGATATAAAAAAATCACTCGAGGAACTAAAACAGGTCAGAGCAAGCATACCAGATTACATAAAAAAAGCTCAAGATATACAAAAATTAAACCATGACAAATCACATAAACTTACAACATATGAACCAAACCAATTAGTTTTAGTCAAATTTCCATTCCAAGAACCAAATAAAACGGCTAAATTAGCGCCAAAATATAGAGGCCCTTACAAAATAATTTCAAAAGTTAGCGACGTAAATTATATGATTTTTCGAACCGAACATCCGAGGCTATTCATATTAACAGACCGTGCCAACATACCATTTTTTCATACTAAACCTATTTCTACATACAATACAGACTTAATGGCCTACATAAACACAAAATTTGTTTATATACAGAACATTCTACAAGCCACCGTCACATCCATGTATATCGATCTGGTGACCAAACAATGTCACTTAGAAAAAAACATACTCATGCAAAAACCGGAGAAATAGTTTATCTAATAAAATGCAAGCCTGTAGACGTTGAACTTAACAGAAGCCACAAAGTTTGTTTTCAAGAACTACCAGTAGTCTACAATAAACAAAAATTATTCATGGCGCCGAAAACACACACACTACAAAAATACGAAACAGAAATTGACTGTACCATCATACTACCAACAGGATATCTAATGGAAGGAGAATGGATCAGCATGTCACCCGAATACAACGAGCTAGGATCTGGCAAAATACCTCAAATATTAAAACCACAAACAACTTGGACTTAGGCATATAGAAGCCCAGAACAAATAATGAACGCAGGACTATACTCTAGCGATACGATCAATGCCCTACAAAAACATTTATTATTTCCCCAAGAAGTTGAAGCAGCTCAAAGTAATTTAGCCAGACAAACGATGGGCTACAATACAATAGATCAAGGCCTAAAAATCAAGCCATATATTGATGAACAACTCATAAGCAGGTTAGTCGAAGACAAACTTAACAAAATGTGGGGCTGGTTCGTAGGATTTGGAAACTTTATATCTGGACTATTAGGCGTATTTGTCGCATGTAAAATTCTAATGATATGCCTCAACACAACAATCAAAATGTCAATATTATACCAAATATTTGGCTGCAGTTTCAAAGTTCTAGCACGTGTGTTCGCTAGCATGACACATTATTTTATGCACAAATCACATTCCCATGACAATAAACAAAAACCAAGAAAAATAACTACAGAAGAAATCACTCAACAAAACACCTATTTATTAAACACAGTTCAGGGACAACCCATACCAGAACCCCGACAACTTTATCCACCCATCAGAGTCGAAAATTCACACTATCAAACACCCAGAAGAACTTTATAAGAACTTACATCACACATCATTACCACAATAGATTTTTTAAATAAAATAACTTTCCTCAACATAAATATCAAATTAAACATATAAAGTAATATAAAACATCACAAAATAGCCAATCTATTAAATAATTAATATCACAATTTAGAAACATGGACTATCACTTTGACCTAATGAAAAAAATACAAATAGAACGCCACCCACCATCACAAACTGACGCCAGAAAATACTAACTCAAACATCAACTTGTTATAACACAAGAAGCAATACACCAACAACAAATACATCATTAAGAATGAATCGAGCAGATGTAATAGCAAGCTGCTCCAGCCATATAAATTACATGACAAAACAAAACAACAAATACTTATTAACAGTTCACCTCTACAAAGAAAAACTAGCTATAAGTTATAACCCATGGCAAAAGATACAACAACATCAAACATGCAATTTACACCGACAATTTAACCTAAATAACACGTACATCATGTTATAAGCCAGGTAGGCTTACAACGAGTTTTTGTAGAAAGTGAAGGTAACTCAAAATAAATAACAATTAGTTAATTAATTAAGTATATTTTTAAAATAAACACACACATATCGACAATGATAAGGTACGAGTCATACGCTTGTTATAAGACTGTTCGATCTACTGCCCTTTACAATGTACTTATATATCCGAATTCATATAATAATTAAACAGTTTATATTCGCATTACATACTTGTGTTACTTTCCTTATGACTACAATGTTTTGTACAATTTCACAATCATTCGTATAACCCTGATATCCGTTCATTGAATATAAAGTATTGATTAGTACTACGTGTTAATAATAATACAACTACGTAGGTGGTCTTCTACACCTCCCCTACCAGACGAAAGATTATACTTCAATAAGAATAATCTTTCGCCCTTACAATTTTCTTAAACTCTAGTGGTTATTGGTATTAATTCTCTCCTGTTAACTATATGTATGTTACTTCTATTATTAGTTTTACAATTTTTATATATATAATAGCTTAATATTAGTATTACAAATGCAATTATATAATATAAATATTGGTATATAGTTCGTATAATTTCCTTCTCCTTATATCTAATTTCTATATCTACTAAATTGTCTATCTCATCTAGCGATTGTGATATATCATTAGTAGATTTATATACATTTTCGCGTGATTTTTCCAATTTTAAATCTTCGAGTTTTGTATAATTTTTAATGTTGAATAATGTTTTTGGTATTTTAGACCACGGCACTATATCTATATTCCTATTAGTTGACAAATGTTTTATTGGTATTAGGACTGAATCAGATGTAAAAATCCTACAATCCTCCCTTATTGAAATTATCCCTGTCCCTGTTAAATTAATTTTCATACTTGCTTTTGCTTCCTCACAGTCTAATATAATATTTTCTCTTGAGACCGAATATATCCATGCGTTTTTAAATTTTAATTTATGAAATATATTCTCTATTAACGTAATATGTCGTACGTGACATGTTTTTGGTATTTCTACTGGTTCCAATAGTAACTTTACCTCACACACTGTTCTTTCATGTCTATTATATATTGCTTGTCCTCCTGCACATAATTTATAATTTGGTGTTTGTCTACATTTATTTAATTCCTCTGTTCTATATGAAATGTAATTTTCATAATCTTTACTTATAGCTAAATAGTCCATTTTTGGGTTAATGTACATATGTAATGGATCGTTATTTCCACTTACTGGTAATGGTATTAAATTGTATAATGTAAATTCGTAATTATCAATTAAAGGTATTCTTATCAAAAATATTAAAGTTTTATTTTTATATATACATACTACATCGGCTATAGTTAATAATGTATGAGCTCCTATTATGTCCAGTGGAACTGGTAATCTCTGATGTTTAGGTATATCGTTTTCGATTTTTTTTAATTGTTCCAAAATATCTTTCGGTGTTAAAACACTAGCATGAATAACGCCCCCTTGTGCTGCTGTTACAATCTCTCCTAATAAATCTACTTCAAATAATACCTGACTTATCATTAAATTAAATAATATTATTTGTTGTTCTACTAATTGTTCTAACTCTATATCCATAATTAATTCATTCATATTTTTTAATTGGTTTTCTATTTTTCCAAAATTTTCATTTAATAATATTTTTTCTTTATTTATATTAAAAAATGTATTATTATAAAGTTCTACATTTGACTTAACTGCATAAATTTGTTCTTTTATAATGCTTAATACTTTATAATTACTTGAATGTAATTCCGAAATTTGAGTAGAAAATTTATCCGCATCTTCCTCTGTTAGAGTACCATATAATTGTTTATACATATCCCCAACAAAATTAAACCAACCCCTTTTTTTCCGTGATGAGGGTGTAGTTCCTAACATGAGAAAATACTGATTTTTCCTTTTTTCTACTTCCTCTAGTAATGAGTTTATTGTAGTATTCACATCATTACACTTAGCATTTTTTATTACTTTTGTTACGTTTCTACATACTACCTCAATTATTAAAAAATATTGTTTTAACGTAGTTATTCTTAAATCATAATTAGTTAAATTTACCGAAGTTATTACATTCCAATTTATATTTGTTAATTTTAATTGTCCTTCATTCTCGTAATATAAACCTGAAGTATT